CAGCGGGAAAGTTCCTAGAATATCTACAAAACGAAGAGAGAATAATCAGGGAAAAATTACCGCGTAAGAAACCCATGTGTATGAGGAGGGATAATTGGAGGGCCTATAAGAAGTCAACGAGTTGTCATGTTTGTAATAAACCCCTGAATGGGGATTCCGTAAGAAATCATTGCCACGTCACGGGTAATTATCGGGGAGCCGCGCATAACGAGTGTAACTTGAAACTAAAAATGAATTCTCAAACAATACCCATCCCCGTTGTGTTTCATAACCTTAGGGGATGGATTCACATCTCATTATGCAAGCTATCTCAAAGACCGACGGCGGTTTAACGTGCATTCCTAATAATATGGAAAAATACATATCATTCTCGTTGACTAAACCTATACATTATAGGGACAAGGATGGGAAAGCTAGAATAAAGCAAAGTAATGGGCTGAGATTCATAGACTCCGTACAGTTTCTGTTATCTTCCCTGGACAATTTAGCTAATGCGAACAATCCCGATGACTTTTCGATAACAAATCAATATACCGATAAGATAACTCGTCATTTGTTGCTGAGAAAAGGTGTATATCCTTACGAATATATGGATGATTGGTCTAGATTCGAAGAAACTGAATTACCACCCCTTGAATCATTCTATAGTAACTTAACAGAATCTAAAATAACAGATGCCAATTATGAACACGCTCTGACGGTGTGGGATAAATTAGGTTGTAAGAATTTAGGCGATTATCACGATCTGTACTTAAAAACCAATGTACTGTTACTCGCCGATATATTCGAGATATTTAGAAAGACATGTTTAAAACAATACGGCTTGGACCCGGCATGGTACTATTCCAGTCCCGGACTATCGTGGGATGCATTGTTGAAGGAGACCGGCGTAGAACTAAAACTAATCACAGATTACGATATGCACTTGTTTATTGAGAAAGGATTAAGAGGTGGTATATCGATGGCAGCGAAATGGTATTCTAAGGCTAATAATAAATTAGTGGAAGGATACGATCCGAGTAAACCCGACACGCACATATTATATCTCGACGCTACAATTTGTATGGATGGGCTATGAGTCAACCTTTACCCACGGGTAGTTTTGAGTGGGTTGATGAGAATGATATCGAAGTGAATGATATCCATAATATCAATGTGAATGATGCGAATAAAGGGTACATACTAGAAGTTGACTTGGAATATCCAAGTTCGTTACATAAAGATCATAACAGTTATCCGCTAGCTCCTGAAAGATTAATGGTTAATAAAGATTGGATGTCGGAATATCAACGCTCCTTGATGGGTAATAGTAGGTTAGCTCACGTAGAAAAACTCGTACCAAATTTGATGGATAAGACAAAATATATAGTTCACTACAGAAATCTCCAGTTGTATCTATCGTTAGGTATGAAACTTAAGAAAATACACAGAGTTCTAAAGTTTGATCAAAGCCCTTGGATGGAGCCCTATATAAGGTTGAACACAGATTTAAGAAAGATAGCTACCAGCGATTTCGAAAAGAATCTGTATAAGCTCATGAATAACTCAGTATTTGGTAAAACTATGGAGAATCTAAGGAAGCGTGTTGATGTTAAATTAGTCAGATCTAATGAGGAAGAAAGACTCAGGAAACTTATAGCCAGTCCGGCTTTTAACAGAAGCAAGATATTCGATAACGACTTAGCCGCGTTGCATATGCAGAAGAGTAATATAAAATTCAACAGACCGGTGTATGTCGGTATGAGTATTCTCGACTTGTCAAAACACTTAATGTATGACTTTTATTACAACGAACTTAAGAAGCAATACGGCAATAGATGTGAGGTGTTATATACCGACACAGATTCTTTGTTGATGGAAATACAAACCGAGGATGTGTATAAAGATATGGCAGAAAAAATAGATATGTAGGACACGAGCGATTACCCAAAAGATAATCCACTGCACAGCGTAGTAAATAAAAAGGTGTTAGGTAAGATGAAGGATGAATGTGCTGGGACCCCTATAGCGGAGTATGTCGGATTAAGACCTAAGATGTATTCTATAAAGAAGTCCGATAATGGGGAGATAAGAAAAGCTAAGGGTGTTAAAAAGTATGTGGTAAAAAAGCATATCAAACACGAACAGTATAAAGAATCATTATTTAACGGTAGAACGTTCAAACACGAGATGAACTCTTTAAGAAGTTACAATCATAGGATATATGGATTAAGAATGAACAAGACATCATTATCCCCCTTAGATACAAAGAGATGGATTGATAATGATGGTGTAACTACCTATGCTTATGGTTATGGTGGTAATACCGTACCTTCGGGAACTATGAACAACTCTTCTCGCACAAATGCCCTACCCGGTCCATCTTGAAGATAATAAAGAATAGGCTCTCCTTCTTTCATAACCAATCGACTAATGTTATATGTCTTAAGGGACCATATGGGATCGGTTGCGCGGCGTAGGCCTCCTTCGAGTTCACCGGGCTGGTATAAATATCTTACCCTTACTCTATCCGGAAGTTTTCGTTTTTTGCCTCTCCTCGGTGCTGAAGATTCGGAAGTCACGGATTTCATTTTAATCGCATCGGATGGTTTCTTCCCTATTAATCTCGTTACTTCATTATTCAGCGCTGATACAACGGCTGATAATCGTGTCACCCATTCGGTTGATCTCAATCGCTCGGATTTCATTTCGATCCCATACTGATAGCCAAACAAACGTTCTGCTAATGTCCTGTTAAATCTTTCGAAGAAAGCTTGAGTGCGGTGGGCCTCTCTTTCGCCACGCCTGATTTTGACATCGTGCTTTGTTAACAGTTTAGTTATTGATCCCATAAACTCGCGACCGGGATCTACTTGAAACAGCTTCTAAGGCCATTTTAGTGGTCTGCGTTTATATATGCGGCTCAGTGCATTAGCTACTTCTGTTGAATCTTTCGAGGTTAATGGCTCAGCCTCTTTGTATCTACTAGCCACATCCACTACTGTTAAAGCGTATTTATACGTTTTGCGTTTTACCTTATCGTGGGGAAGAAACAAGAGGTCAGCCTGATGAACTTCATTCGTTGTAAAAATATCAAACTTCTTCCTCGGTATATAACGCGGTGCCGGTAAATATATTTGCCACATCGCTTGTTTCTTTAACCAATCCTTGGCCACATCTTTAGATACCTTAGCCGCGGTGGCTAATTTTTGTTTTGCTCCTATACCTTTCCAATATCCTCGTGGGCTATAGTAAATTTTATTCAATATTAATTAATATTGATGTTTCTTTTAATATGACTCATGACTATCGTTGAATCGCATAGTCATTTTTGCATAAAAATGCCACCTGTAGTGGTGAGCTGGAGTCAATTTAACTTAATCTCATGACTATCGTTGAATCACATAGTCATTTTTGCATAAAAAAATCCCTCTGTAGTGGTGGTATAGGTATATAAATCTGGCTCATCACAAATATGGTTACATATTCTATGATAAACTGCAGATGGCAAATAACTTTTTAATAACTTTTTTAATTTTTAATGCTTGCAATCAGGCCATTTACAAAAAGGTCCAGTGAACATAGTCCACAGGGGCTAATGCCTTGCGCACAACCGGACATGTAATATTGTCAGGGGATATGAGTATTTCATGTTTTTTTATATTTTTATGTTATTATATGCCTTGGGTGTCAAGAAGATACATTGGACAAACAGTGCTTAAAGGACAGAATGCATGGCCATAAATAACAGATAAAGGACTCCAAACCAAAGCCGCTAATGTGACATGGCAATGCCGCGTACCAGTATTAGTGCAAGCGCACTGTGACATGATGATATAGTGACGTCACAGATTATATTATAACAGTCAACACTTCTCCCTGAAACATGTACGAGAGCAATTTGTGTTGTGTGATTATTTTGTGAACTTCTTAATATAAAATGTTTATGTGAGTATTTCATTTCTGCTTTTTTATAGAGAGTGAGAGAAAGAGAGAATGAGAATGAATCAAAGCATATAAACTTGAACCATTGAGTGTCTTAAACAAGAATGTATGTCGTTAAATCTCATCTTTCTCATTTCTGACAGTAGGTAACATTAGCTTCCCAAACTGTGGAATAGAAAGTTTAAAATTCAAGCTTTTATAGTTTATATTTTCTAAAACATGTTTACGAAAATGGGAGGTGAGATGCAAAGTTGGTTTCGGAAACGGAGTACTAAAGTAAGAAGCATTAAGAAGTGTTCAGCTTTCAATCTTTTCATCCTACAGGGGCTTTATTGTCTCAAACCAGTGGTCAGGTATCTTCCATTTCTGCAAACCTATTGGCTTATTATTGACAATACTTTTTATACAATTTTGGACCTTTTTTATCTCTCGAGGCGTATTGCTTTCAACATCTGTATAAATGTTTCTACAGTGCATACAAAGCTTCTTGGTTTTCTCTGCTGTGTTCCTTCTGTACAGCAAATAATGTCTTGCCGATGGCAGCAGGCATCTGGCCAAGTCCCCAGGTTTCTGAACACGAGACATAAATTCATTTGTATATTGTTAACCAATGAAATCTGTCCCTATATGGCTGTGCAGCTGTGTCCTAAGAGAGGGATTTTCATTTCATGGAAATTATGGTTAGAGTTTCTTCTCTCGGGAGTAATCAGCTCACCAAAAATCTGAATCTAGGTTTTAGATTTGGAAAGAAGCAAGGTTTAACCACCTCACACATGCACACGAGGTGTGGGTTGCAATTGATTTATAGATAGTTGACAGTGAAGAAGACTGTTGAAAATCTGAAGATTGTATAGTGTGATGACAGACAAACTACTGGATTTATGGCTATGATGTAATGGAGGTAGTACTCACAGAATTATTAACAATGATAACTATTGTTTGATATCTACATCATGATGTATTGAGAAGCATGTGCCATAGAAAGAAATATTCTTCTCTGTGGATCACACAAACACTCCACTGGATTGCATTAGTGGTTGGTCATTTACTCTCTTTCACTATATTTCATGTTTCAGGAATCATCAAATCTTTGCTGAGAGTGGCATACATGTGACCAGATTTATTGGACTTGCAGCTGTAGGCAATTTGAACAAAGATAAGGTAGGACACTTACACTTGTAAAGGGGAGGTAGCTGTTGGCTACTGTATCTGTAAGGATAAAGGAGTATCAAAAAGAAAGAAGACAGGCACAGAAAAAGTCAATAGGCGCCCTCTAAAGCCTGTAAAAGCTATAAAAATGGATGACAAAAGGTCTGTGTTGTGTATGTATTATGTTATTTGTCCGACCCGCACATTGGAGGAACATCAAATCTTCAATACATAACAAAACCGTAGTTGGCTCAATCACTGTTTAATGGAGAACTGACACTGCTTCACACAGCTGCCTAGGTTACCACAACATAATGACGTCACACCTAAAGTGACGTCACTGCACGTGCGCATTGGCGCACTTACTATGTAAACATACCTAACATGCACAACATTTCTCCCCCTTAAAAGAAAATACTTTCTACTTCTCTAACCAATACATTTACAATATTCAGAACACAGTACTATGAGCTATTTTCTAAAGTTATAATTTAACAATGTTACAACTTTCAACCACAACAATGTTCAACAATAAAATATAACAATATGCAACACACTCCGCCCACCATTCAATAAAATTTAAACATTGTTCCTATTATTAACAACATTTATAAAAACATAACAGTGAAAGTATAAACAATCATATTATTATGATAAACTCATATATATATATGATATCTGCTACACATTGCTGAATACTTTATTCAATGACTTAATTGTCAAAACTGTCAGTTTCTACATTGTGTTCTCACAGGGTTAGTCTATCGGGAGGTTTTCTCACTCTTTCTGACCGTCTCACGGTTTGTTTTGCTGGTACATTTGCAATTGTCACCTCACTGTGTTCACACTGGTGTTCATCACATTGCTGTGATGCACTAGGTATTACGATAGGGTCGCCTTTGTTGACCCTGATACTTTCTACAGTCCCTGCACTACAGTCACTTTGAACAATCATGTTCTCGTTACCATGGTTACTACATGTAGTTGCATCTCTACACTTTAATTGGTCAATATGACGCTTGACAGTTCTATTGCCAATGTCAACATCAGAATGTCTTTCACCACATTTTGTCATCACCTTGCCAGCAGTCCATTTGTCTGTTTTGTTGTACTCACGCACCCACACCTTATCATTGTCATTTAGCTGTCTTGTGTCGCCAGGTTGACACAATGAAGAAGACTGTTTTGTAGCAACAACATCAGCATGATTAGGCTTGATTAAGTCAATTCTACATCTTAGTTCTCTTCCAAGAAAAGGTTTTGCTGGAGTTTCTTGAGTTGTGCAATGGGGACTAGAACGATAGGCTAGCAGAAACCTATCAATCTTCTTCTGTAATGTTGCATCATCCCCTCTAGTTGATTTCATAGCTTGTTTGAAGGATTGAACAGCTCTCTCAGCAAGTCCGTTTGTAGCAGGATGATATGGAGCAGATAAGATGTGTTTTACACCATTACTTCTCAAGAATGTTTCAAACTCATTTGACACAAATTGTGGACCATTATCTGTAACAACTTGCAGTGGTAATCCATATTTTGCGAACAAACCTCTCATCACTTTCACTGTCGCATCAGCAGTAGTTGAATTCATAACAATCACCTCTAACCATTTGGAATGAGAATCTACAACAATGAGGTACATGTGACCCATGAAAGGACTAGCAAAGTCCAAATGAATGCGACACCATGGTTTTGATGGCCATGACCAATGATGAACAGGAGCTTTTGTTGGATCATTTTGAACATTCTGGCATGTAATACACATTCTTGCAGTACTTTCAATATCAGCATCTACTCCAGGCCACCACACATAACTTCTAGCAACTGATTTCATTTTCACCATTCCAAAATGACCACCATGTAACTCATTTAGAACACCGTTTCTGATTTTAGAAGGAATCACTACTCTCATTCCCCATACAATGCATCCTATTTGAATGGAAAGCTCATATCTTCTTGAGTGAAATGGTTTCATTATTTTGTTCTCACTGTGATCTTTATCCCAACCGTTCATCACTGCCATGTACACTTGTGAAAGAACAGGATCTCGCCTTGTCTCATTTCTCACATCACCTGCTGTAATAGGCAGATGTTCAAACTGACTTGCATAGAACAAATCTACATCATCACTCACATATTTTGTTGTATCAGGTAGAGGTAAACGAGACAACACATCAGCATTTGCATTGGCAGAGGAAGATTTGTACTGAATTTTGTAATCATATGCACTGAGAATCAATGCCCATCTCTGTAGTCGAGCAGCAACTAATGATGGTACTGACCGTCCCTCACCAAACAGGGCAGTGAGAGGTCGATGATCTGTCACGAGAGTGAAATGCCTACCATACACATACTGATGAAATCTTTTCACACCAAATATAATTGCTAGGGCTTCTCTGTCAATTTGTGAATATCCCTTTTCAGCCTTGTTCAGTGTTCTTGAAGCAAATTAATGCAATCGGTCGTTCAGTACCATCACTCATCACATGAGACAACACAGCACCCACGCCATAGGAGGATGCATCACATGCCAATGTTATTGGCAACAATGGATCATAATGACACAACACATCGGAACTTGCAATTTTGCTTTAGACATTTTGAAAGATTTCTCACATTCAGTTGACCATAGCCATTTCTTGTCTTTCTGCAACAGTTCGTTTAATGGGTGAACGATTATAGAAAGGTTCTGGATGAATCTGCCATAGTAGTTGACTCCACCGAGAAAGGAACGTAGTTGTGTCACATTTTCAGGTCTTGGAGCACTGATGATAGCTTTCACCTTATCTTCTGAAGTATGAAGTCCTTCTTTGTCAATAACATGACCGAGATACTTGACTGAGTCTACAAAGAATTTACACTTACTTTGTTTTACTCTCAAGCCGAATTGTTGTAATCTTGACAGAACTGCATCCAAGTTCTGTAACTGTTCTTCATCATTTGAACCGGTCACTAGAATATCATCTTGATGACATAATACTTTCTGCAAACCTTGAAGAATTTGGTCCATTGTAGCTTGAAAAATTGCAGGAGCTGAAGCAATGCCGAAAGCAAGTCTTGTGTACCTGTAGAGTCTTTTTGGAGTATTGATGGTGAGTAGTTTCTGTGAGTCTTCATCCACCTCCATTTGTTGATAAGCATGAGCAAGATCAATCTTTGAGAATTTCTGACCTCCGGCAAGTTGAGTGAACATGTCTTCAATCTTGTTTTGTGGATACTGGTTCACATTTAAAGCTGGGTTTACAGTAGATTAGAAATCGCCGCATATTCTGACAGATTTGTCAGGTTTGACCACTGGAACTATTGGTGTAGCCCACTCAGAATTTTCTACTTTGATAATCACGCCATTTTTCTCCATTCTTGAAATTTCTTCATTCACTCTATCATGAAGTGCATAAGGAACAGGCCTAGCTTTCATGTATTTAGGAGACATGCCATCTTTCACTTCTAAATGGGCTTTGATTCCATTAATTGTACCCAGTCCATCAGAAAATACATCACAGTATTTCACAAACATTTCACTGAGTTGATCTTCACTTGACATTTTGTGACACATGTTGACATTACTTCCTAATGATTTCCAGTCAATATTTACGTATGGTAACCACGCCCTCCCAAGTAACGGAGGACCTTTTCCCTGCACGACATGTAGTGGTAACTGGTTTACTCTTTCACCATCACGAACGTCAACATGTGTGATACCAAGATTTGTGACAAGCTCACCTGTGTATGTTCTCATTGGGATTGGTGATTCTTGTAAGCTGCATTCTGAAAAGTTCTGTCTGTAAACGCCTTCAGTAATGATAGAACTTCTTGAGCCAGTATCTAACTCCATCTTTAGATCACGTCCATTTACATTCACTGTCACCCATATGATATCTGCAGCACCGTGAATAGCGAACAAATGATTTAGACAGTCACCTAAATCATCTAGAATGACATCTTCATATTCATGGGTTGAACAAAGTTCTTCATTGATAACATTTACACAAAAAGTTGGACGCCTACCGTTTCTGTTTACATTGCTGGAGCTAGCACTTCCTGTTTGACGAAACCCGGATGTTGAACTTTGACCTGACCTTTGACTCCATTTCTTCGCTTTGCATACCTCCTGAATATGGCCTTTCTTTTGACAGAATGAGCAAACTGTATCTTTGAAATTACAAGTATCAGCTAAATGCGAAGGCTTTCCACATCTATAACAATAACGTTCATACCTTGCATTAGATCTTCTGTTGTTGAAAGAAAACACCTCTGACTGTGATTGTTCCTCGGTAATCCGTTGCGGCACAATTCTTCTGAATCTTTCGCAGCTAATTCCATTGAATTTGCATTTGAAACTTCACGTTCTAGTGTCAATTCTAATTCTGCAAGCAATTTCCTTTGAACATTTACACTTTTCAGTCCAAGAACTAATTGATCTCTTAAACGTTCATTCAGTGTAGCGCCGAAGTCACAAAATCTAGCCAGTCCTTTCAAAACAACAACATATTGTGAAACAGTTTCGTTTTCGGTCTGCATTCTCTTGTGAAATCTGTATCTTTCAGCAATAACACTTGGTCTAGGCATATAATGATCACGTAAAACAGTGAATAATTGTTCCAAAGTACGTGTACGAGGCAAATCAGGAGAAACCAACGATTTGAGAACATTGTAAGTTTTTGCACCAATCATGGAAAGAAACCCGGAAACTCTTCGTTCATTTGGAATGTCATTAGCATCGAAATATAAACTCACTCTTTCAGAATATGACATCCAATCTTCTAAACTTTCATCGAACTGTCCAACATCTCCAATGACGCCTGCCATTATGGAAAAGCACTGAATGTAATCACGTATAGAAAGTTTTATCCTCGTCGCCACTGTTGTGTATGTATTATGTTATTTGTCCGACCCGCACATTGGAGGAACATCAAATCTTCAATACATAACAAAACCGTAGTTGGCTCAATCACTGTTTAATGGAGAACTGACACTGCTTCACACAGCTGCCTAGGTTACCACAACATAATGAC